TATTTGAGACTTCTCTTGTTTTCCAGTGTAGGCATCTGATACTATGAATTGCTCTCTGTGTCTGCTTTCGTTGCATTCCACAACTTCTGCTATATCTTTTATTTTCATTCAGTTAAAATACTTTCCCATTTTGAAAAAGTTCTTTGATCCATAGATGATGCAGAAGCATATTACTCAGTTTCTAAATATTTGAGGACTTTCCACCTAGCCTTCATTATTATTTATAACTCCACTGTGCTCCCAGAAAATGTTTTTTGTGATTTGCATTCTTTTATCTTCTTGAGACTTGTTTACAACTTGAGTCAGGGTATTCTCTTTCTTGGTAAAAATCTGCATCCATTTGAAAATGAGTATTTTGTCCTGGAGTTGGGTAGGATTCTTTTTACATTTTGACTAGGCCATTTTTGATAACTGTCCCCAAATACATACTTGTATATACTTTGTCTGCTTATTCTATCAGTTACTGAAAGAAAGGTATTGAACTCATGATAATTGTTAACATTTGCTTTTCTCTGTGGTTCTATCACATTTTGCTTTATGTGTCCCAATGCTCTATTATTAGGTACATAAGTATTTAAGTTTGTTAGGTCATCTTAGTGAATCATTCTTTATTATCTCATAGTTCCTGATCATATTCTTTGCTGTGAAATCTACTTTGTCATTATTCCTGGTAATATTTTTTCTTTGCAATCTACTCAGTAAGATAATGATATGGCAATTCTAGTCTTCTTTTGATGGCTTTTTTTAATGTATTTTTTCCTTACTTTTACATTTTAGCTTACATTTATCCTTATATTAATGGTGGCTTCTTGAGAGTGAATATTAAAGATGAACACAACAATTTGTCTTTTTATTGGAGTGTTTAGCCTATTTTTAATATTAATTTATATGTTTTCTTTTAAATGCATTTTCCCCATTTCTAGTTGGCTTTACTCTTATTATTTTTCTCTCTATTTTGGTCTTTAGATTAGTTTTTATAATTCCATTTTCCTGCCAATATTAGCTTTTTAGGTATAATTATGTTGGAGGTGCTATTTTAGCAGTTGCTACAGGGTATATAGTATATATAACTTTAATATCAGAGTCCGCATTCAGGTGTTTTTTTAAAAAGGCACTTCACAGTAAGAACTGTACAACCATATTTTAATAATTCTTCCCTCCTTGTCTCTGAGCTACTTTTTTTTTACCTTGTACCCAACATTTCTCTTAACAATTTTGGCTTTAAGCAGTCTGTTGTGATTTATTTTTAATTTATTTTTGGATTTTGGGGGACACACTCAGTGGTACTCAGGGCTTATTCCTGACTCTGCTTTTATGGATTACTCCTAGTGGAGCTTTGGGGAATTATATGAGGTGCCAGGAATCAAACCTGGGCCAGCTTTGTGCAAGTCTAATGCCCTGCTGGCTGTTCTCTCTCGGGCTCCGCAGCTTATTATTGGTTAAAGACAGCAAAAGCAAGTCTTTCTATATACTTGCACAATGACCCTTGTGTTCTTCATTCCATTTTATGTATCCATTCTTCCATGGATTATCATCCATCCTTATTGAAGCGTGCTTTCCATTCAGATGATTTTTTTTTTACCTCTATTACGTCTAAAAAAGCTTTACTTTCAGTTGCAGTTTTGAAAGATTTTGTGTAGGGTAAAAAAGAATCCTAGGTCTAAAGATCTTTCATTCCTTTAGAGATCTTGCCCTACTATAAAGTGTTCTAACTTTATTTTTTTTATTATTTTATTTGAATGAATTACCGTGAGATTCAGTTACAGACTTAGAAACTTCTGTGTTTACCCTTCAGTCATATAATGATCGAGTACCGATCAAGTACCCATCCTTCCACCAATGCCCATTCTCTGCCGCCAGTCACAACCATCCTGTTATTCGTCGCAGGCCCTAGTAACGTCTCCTTCGTCCTAGCCTGAGATTTTTAAAAAAAGTGCCGTATTCAAGGCTCTTTGAGAGTTAGGAGAATGAGACCCTTCATTGTTACTGGTATTTGGCATATTGGGTACGCCACGGGGAGTTTGCCAGACTCTTCCGTGTGGGCAGGTTACATTCGGTAGCCTGCCAGTTTGTCCAAAGTAGGAATGAGATGATAAGATGTCTTCCGGGAGCTGGATTTTATAGTCTCTGAGTCTTGGCCCTTGATGGGATTACACGGCGCCAGGGGGCCAGTTGGTGGGTGTGACCCCACCTACTGGAATTTGGAGGATCTGGGTGGAGGATGCTCAGCCCCGATCCAAGTAGGCTTGGAAATCTCAGCCCTGGGACCCACATGCCTTTGTCCCTCTGCCGGTATCTTCATGTGTATGGAGAGTGGTCTCAGCATGGTCTCCGCCGCCAATGTCTAACTTTATTTTTGAAAGAGAAATTGGTTGTCACATTCATATTTTGTTTCTTTGGTGCTTAGCTTCGTAATCTTCTCAACTCCCCTCTTTCTGGTTATGTTCAGGATTTTCTCTGTCATTGGTCCTGAGTGAGTTGGTTGAGTTCTTTTGCTTGCCGAGCTTGATGCTTACTACTATTCTGGAATTTGTGGGCATATGATTTGCATCAGTTTGTCACAATTACTGTTCAGCTATTTCTCCTGACCTCTGCTTTGTTCTCTTCTTCAGACCCTGAAACATAGGTTTCTGTGTAGGTAGATATGGAGCAAACCCAGGCGCTCCTTCCCAGGAAACTGTTACGAGAGTAGTTGTGTATTTGAGGATGGCAGCTCAGAATATCCCTCTAATGACAGTTTGAGAATATACCCCAGCTCCTCTTCCTGTTTGTCCTGAATGTCATAGATGGGTTCTTGGGTTTTCTGAAGCGGTGGCAGACAGAGGGCCCCAGGAAGCCAGAGAGCTGCCCTTTGTGTGTCCTTGCTTCTCTTTGAAGGCCATTCTTTTTGTTTGTTTGAATTTTTTAATTCACAGCAGAGTCTGGTAAACTCCCCTTGGTGGGAGTACCCACTATGCCAAATACCAATAACAATAATGGGGCTCATTCTCCTAACCCTGAAAGAGCCTTGAATATGGCACTTTTTAAAATCTCAGGGCTAGGACAAAGGAGACGTTACTGGTGCCGGCTCGAGGCAATCGACGAACAACAGGATGATCGTGATCGTGATCGTGATCGTGAATTTTTTAATGGATCACCCTGAGATACAGCTACAGACTTACAAACTTTCGTTTTAGTCATACAGTGTTCGAGTACCCATACCTCCACCAGTGTCCATTCTCCACCACCAGTGTTCCCAGTATCCCTCCCGCCACCCATCCCCATCTGCCCCCTCCCCCGTCCCCACCTCTGTGGCAGGCACATTCCCTTTTACTCTCTCTCTACTTTTGGTTGTTATGGTTTGCAATACAGGTAGTAAGTGGCCATCATGTTTGGTCTACATGCAGTCTATTTTCAGTATGCATCTCCCATCCTGAGCGAGCCCTCCAAGCATCATTCATTTAGTGGTCCCTTCTCTATCCCTGCTGGAAGGCCATTCTTGTTAATTGTATCGAGCACCTCCTCTCTTTCTATTTCAGAGGAAGAGCATTTCCTCTCTTTCTATTTCAGAAAAGGTCACAGGACCTAGGATTAGTCAGAGGACTTGAAAATATGTAGGAGCAGGACTGAATACTCCTTCAGAGTCAGGAGAATCATCATCTTCCGTCGTGGGAAGGACTCACCCACCTGAGGAATAAGGGGGTTCCCACAATTCTTTGGGATAAAAATGGGAGGCCAGGAACCATATGAATCAGAAGTCCATTTAGCACAGGGCGGTTTTTTGTCTTATAGTAATAGCTGCTCAGCATGAAAATTCAGACATCCTGGAGGGTTGAAAGCCAAGCTCTCAGCTCGTTCTCTCTGTGTGTGCAGGGGGTGAGTAATTTTCTTGAAATCATGTATGTCTGATCTTGACACAGCCCAGTGGACCCAAAACAAGTACAACGTTTTTCAACCTTTTCCTGATGCAATGTTCCCATTTTGCCTTTTTTTCCTTCTTATACCCCACAGACCCCACCTCCCCACCCCCACCCGTGTCTGTCCTCCCATTGTTCATCCATTTGCTCAAGCGGGCACCAGTAACGTGCCCATTGTGAGACTTGTTGTTACTGTTTTTGGCATATCAAATAAGCCATGGGGAGCTTGCCAGGCTTTGCCATGCAGGCGAGATACTCTTGGTAGCTTGCCAGGTTCTCCAAGAGGGATGGAGGAATAGAACCCGGGTCGGCCATGTGCAAGGCAAATGCTCTACTTGCTATCACTCCAGGCCCCCCCCCCCCACTATGTCCTACCAATTGCTTCTCTAGTCTCATGTGATGTCTCCTCTACACAGTTTTCACCTGTGGCTCTTTGGAATATTACAGGAACCCACAGAGGTCATATGACTGCTTTAGCATTTGTCAGGCTCCTGGGAATCTTGTGATACCATAATCTGCCTGTTTGTGTGTCTGTTAGGTTTGGGATCCTGACAATGTCCATTTCTTGAATGTACCCCAGTGACAGGTTGTATTTCATTTTCTGTGACTTGGATGTTTGTGTTCTTCGTCTTACAGAATGAGAGAATAATGGGAAGATAGGTGCTTTACCATTGTGGGGGTTGCTGGTTGTTGTGTGGGGTTGGAATCTTAAAGGGGGAGATGGTTTGGGAGTAGGATAATGAACCATGGTAAGAGAGGCAAGAAAGAGCCAGAATTTTTTGGGCCCATGAGGGTCAGATAAAGAACCAGCCCCGTGGTATAGAAGGGGAGGCCCCATCACGTTTTCTGCTCATGTTTGGTGATTTTGATCTGGTGTGTGTAACAGGGCAGATTGTCAAATGCCCCAAGTCTGAGTGTAATCTTCCATGAAGTCATTCTTGTAGGCCTTTCACCTTGGACCTTAAAGCCACTTGGTCCTACTTCATAAGCAGATAAACACCAAAAGAAGCCAACCTCCTCAGCCAACCTCTGGCTAGGCATTGCATGTGAGGAAAGTGTTTTGCAAGATCATATAGAAATGACTTTTGCTGCCTTCCCAAACAGAGCCCCAAGCCTCCCTGGATCTGTGGGCGTCTGACAGCAGCCGTGAAGTAGGTAGGTTCTTCTGTTTTAATTTGAGTTTCTTTCTGGGAAAAAGCCATGGATTTCAGCCAATCTGAATGATAGCGGCATGACTTTGAAGGTCTGGTTGATTCTGTAGAAAATCCTTTCATAGTTATGTCAGCAAATCAGCAGTCTCTGGGAGGAGAAAGAGAAAGAGGCAGAGAGGCCATGTAAACACCAAAGTTATTCAGAAGCCAGAGAGAGGTCAGCAATGCACGTCCTGAGAAGACTGCATGTAATAGTCAATCAGCAGGTTTGCTGCAGGCCCTCCTGTTACAGGTTTATTTAGCTTTATAGAAATCAAAGCTTCTCAGATTTGCCATCTTATGTGAATCACCCGGAGAACTTTCAGAACCCCCTGATGTCTTTTCTATATTCCTAAGAGAGCCCAGCAAGCTACCGAGAGTATCTCGCCCACAAGGCAGAGCCTGGCAAGCTACCCGTGACATATTTGATATGCCAAACACAGTAACAACAAGTCTCATGATGGAGACGTTACTGGGCCCGCTTGAGGAATTTGATGAACAATGGGAGGACCGTGACCATGATCCGTGACCGTGAACATGGTGGAGGGCCGGTCCACAGATATTAATTATATCAGAATTCCCTCTGAGGGTGGGATACAGGCTTCCCTATTTGTGAGTGTGTCCAGATGATTCCAGCGAGATCCACTGGGACACACTATATATTCTAGGGTTAGAAGAGAACAAATTTGCATTTAGCGCAAGGACACCAGTCCTACTCTCTCTGTGCCTGTATCTGCCCAGTGGGAGGTAAGAACCTAGAAGCTCTGGCTCCCACTGCCTTCCTGACCTTCTCTGTTCTCCTGGAATTCGAGTCCAGGGTCCTGATGTGGGTGAGAAACTCAGAAAAGATCAGGTTCCAGCTTCAGCTATATATCCAGGGTGTAAGTTGGGTTTGTAAGACACAGACAAGGCCCTTTGGTCTGTGGGGGCTCCCTCTCCCTCTTTCTTCTCCCCTACCTAAATGTATCGGTGGCAGGGGGGTGGAGGGTGGTGAGGGGGTGTGTCATGGTCAAAGAAGAATGTAAGTCCTAGGGCAGGAGCTTGGAACTTTCTGTAAAGGAGGGACTTTCTGGGAATTCTCCTACACTTCTCCTGGGACAGAGACTCTTACATTAACAAATTAGCTTGCTTATTGGGCACATCCAGTGGTGATCTAGGCTTACTCCTAGCTCTAAGCTCAGAGCTCATCCCTAGATAGGGTGGAGAGGTAGGGGATTGGGGTCGGGGGGCAGTTTGGGGACCATGTTTGGACCTGGGGATTGAATCTGGGTATGCTGCATGTAAGTCAAGAGCCTTGCCTATTGTACTATCCATCCCATAAGATCTTTTTACTTAAAAATATCTTTGACTATTTAATAGCTGAATCATCTTCTTCTTGCCCAGGACTCAGTAACCCCTCCAATCCCACCCTCTCATGGATGAAATGAGGTAGGAGCAGGGCATTCTTGGGTAGTAGGAGTGTTTCTTACAGTGGCATCTATAATGACCCAGGGTGGTGGTTTGTAATCATAGCTAAGTCTTGTGACAGGGAAGGCTAAACAGGCCTGGAAGGGTATTCTGAAGGCCCAGCACAGATGCTCCTTGGTTGGCCTGGAAATATGAGTCATTCCAGGGTTTGTGGCATGGGTACCAGGGAGGATCAGACCCTTCTAAATGTCACTGCAGGAATAGGACTCTTCTTGGCATTGTATCTGTCACCCAGACATCCATCCTTGGATTCCAGTGTCCTCATCTGTCAGTGGGAGAAGCAAAACATCCTTAAATGGGTGTCATCCAGGCAGGTTCCCCTCACTGGTAGGGTATCCAAAGGGCTTGGAGAAATTGGAGCATGGAGGATTTGCTATATGGGATTACAGAGTGTGGGTAGCAGAGACGAGAGGGTTGGCCAAGAAACCATCTCTTTCATGGTAGACTACCAGGACCTATTGTTTGACCTATTCTCTCTCTCTCTCTCTCTCTCTCTCTCTCTCTCTCTCTCTCTCTCTCTATTTATTGAATCACCAAGAGATAGTTACAAGCTTTCATGTTTTGGTTACAATCACACAATGATCAAATACCTATCCCTCCCTCCACAAGTGCACATTCCCTACCACCAAAATCTCCTGTACATTCCCCCCTTTCCCACCCTCCCCCTGACTCCATGGCAGACAATATTCCCCATACTCTCTCTCTACTTTTGGGCATTATGATTTGCAGTACAGACACTGAGAGGTTATCATGTTTGGTCCTTTATCTACTTTCAGCACACATCTCCCATCCCGACTGATTCCTCAAACCATCATTTTCTTAGTGATCCCTTCTCTATTCCAGCTGCCTTCTCCCCTTCGCTCATGAGGCAGGCTTCCAGCTATGGAGCAGTCTTCCTGTCCTGTGTATCTACTATCCTTAGGTATCAGCTTCATGTTATATTGTTTTATAATCCACAAATAAGTGCTTTCCTTCTATGTATGTCCTTCTCTTTCTGACTTATTTCACTCAGCATGATACTCTCCATGTCTATCCATTTATAAGCAAATTTCATGACTTAATTTCTCCTAACAGCTGAATAGTATTCCATTGTGTAGATGTAACAATGTTTCTTTAAACACTCATCTGTTCTGGGGCACTAGAACAGGGTTGTTTACAGATTTTGGTTATTGTGAATAGTGCTGCAGTGAACATATAGGTACAGATGTCATTTCTACTGTGCTTTTTTGCCTCCTCAAGATATATTCCCAGAAGTGATATAGTGGGGTCATATGGAAGCTCAATTTGTAGTTTTTGAAGGACTGTCTATATTTTTTTCCAGAAAGGCTGGACTAGTGGGCATTCCCACCAACAGTGAAAGAGTGTCCGTTTTTCCCCACATCCACGCCAGCACTGGCTGCTTTTGTTCTTTTGAATGTGTGCCAGTCTCTGTGGTGTGAGATGATATCTCATTGTTGTTTTGATTTGCATCTCCCTGATGGCTAGTGATGTGGAGCATTTTTTCATGTGCCTTTTGGCCATTTGTATTTCTTTTTTGAGGAAACTTCTGTTCATTTCTTCTCCCCATTTTTGATGGGGCTGGAGGTTTTTTTCTTGTACAATTCTACTAGTGTCTTGTATATCCTGGATAATAATCCCTTATCACATGGGTATTGGGTAAATATTCTTTCCTATTCTGTGGGCTCATTCTGTATTTTGGTCACTGTTTCTTTGAAGTGCAGAAGCTTCTTAGTTTGATGTAGTCCCATTTGTTTATGTTTGCTTCCACTTGCATGGTCTGTGCTGTTTCATCCTGAAAGATGCTTTTAGCTTCAGTGTCGTGAACAGTTATGCCTACATTTTCCTCTACGTACCTTATGGATTCATGTCTGATATTGAGGTCCTTAATCCACTTTGATATGACTTTTGTGCCTGGCATTAGACAGAAGTCAGAGTTATTTATTTTTTTGTAGGTAGCTATCCAGTTTTCCCAGCACCACTTGTTGAAGAGGCTTTACTTGTTCCACTTCACGTTTCTTGCTCCTTTGTCAAAGACTAAGTGGTCATATATTTGGGGGTCTGTAACAGAATATTCAACTCTATTCCATTGTTCTGAGGGTCTGTTTCTATTCCAATACCACACTGTTTTAATTACTACTGCTTTGTGGTAGAGTTTGAAGTTGGGGAAGGTGATGCCACCTATCTTCTTTTTCCCAGGGATTGCTTTAGCTTTTCGTGGGGGTTTATTGTTCTATATGAATTTTAGGAGTATTTCATTTATTTCTTTGAAAAATGTCATGGGTATCCTGATATGAACCGCATTAAGTTTTTATAGTGCTTTGGGCAGTATTGCCATTTTGATAATGTTAATCCTCCCTATCCATGAGCAGAGGACATGTTTCCATTTTCTAGTGTCCTCTTTTATTTCTTGAACAAGTGTTTCATAATTTTCCTTGTATAGGTCCTTCACCTCTTTGGTTAAGGTGATTCTGAGGTACTTGATTTTCTGAGGTACTATTGTGAACGGGATTTTTTTTTTAATGTCTCCTTCTCTTTCATTATTTGTATATAAGAAAGCCATGGACTTTGGGGTGATGATTTTATAGCCTCCCACTCTACTATACTGACCTATTGTTTCTAGGAGTTTTGCTGTAGAGTCCTTAGGGTTTTCGAAGTATAGTATCATATCGTCTGCAAATAGTGATAGCTTGACCTCTTCCTTTCCTATCTGTTTGCCCTTGAGAGTGTTTTACCTGTTTTCAAGTGACGTTTGTTGGTGGAGTGGGGGACTGTCACTCAGGGAGTTAAAATCCCCATTGGTAATTACATTTATTTTTCTTGGGGGTGCTCAGGAGGTTTTGGGGGCTCCACCAGTGATTCTTGTTCAGCTGGGCTAGTGGTTCAGTGCAAGGGCCTGGGAAGGCAGTGCTGCCCGCCCGGGCCCTGTAGTGCCAGAATGCCTGGCCTACCCCGCCAGTGCTAGGGACTGCCAGGGGTATACCCGGCAGTGTTCAGGGGACCATGTGTACCAGGGATCAAATCTGGGTCATGCTTAGTCATGCTTAACTTGCACCCTAACTGCTTTCCTCTCTCCAAGCCCTACTCAGTGATTCCTTCAGGTCCTTGGCTGTTCATTTAGTCTGAGCAGAGCTGGCACCTGTTGGCTCTTTGAGACTGCTGCTAGTGCCTTCGTACTTGTACATGGAGGATGGTGGGTTTGATCCCCATCTAGTATTGACTCGGTATGGGTCCCTGTGGCTGCCACATTGTGATGCAGGCATGGGGATTTGGTGACTTTTGCCCTATGAATCTAACATAAATGGGTATCCAGCTTTCTTACACTGATTGAATGCCATGCCCCTCCTCTACTCACCTCCTATTTGGCCCAGAGCATAAAGATCTTCAGGGTCCTGAAAAAATACCAAGTTTCTGATCTAGTGGTGGGAAGGGGGTTGAATGGAGTAGAATGCTCCATTCCTCACCATTAAGTGTACTTGGTGGTGGAGTAGGATAGCATCG